CCTACATACATTTCTACTCTCTCTCGCACACATACATTCTCCTTTCACATACATGCATTTGTACTCTCTCGCACACACATACATTCTCCTTTCACATACATACATTTGTACTCTCACACACACACATACATTCTTCATTCACATACATTTGTACTCTCACACACACATACATTCTCCATTCACATACATGCATTTGTACTCTCACACACACATACATTCTCCATTCGCATACATACATTTCTACCTTTTTTTTGGTATCTATTACTTCCTGTTTAAGCAGGAAGTCACTCTCAGACCAGGAAATACATGTGCAAGACTTGCTCAGCTCATCCTCACAATTTTACATTGATGCTATTCAAAGTCATCCTGTTTTCTTTTCAACTACATATGTTAAGTTTTTAATTTTAAAATATCATTATGTAACCTACGTGTTCTACAGATCTGTGTACAAGTGTTATGATACTTTATTTGCCCTGGCAAAATTTTCTCAGGCCTTGCCACAATCAATCAATCAATAAATCAATAAATAAGACTTATTGTTTTCATTGTTGACATTAACATTGTATTGAAATAAATGATAACCATTTTGCACAAACAGGTACAATAGTTCAAAGATAAAACTGAAATGAACCATGCTTTTTCAGGTTTTTCAGGTAGGTCTAACTCTATTCCAGTTAAGGATGCACCGATCAGGATTTTTAATGACCGATTCCAATTGCCGATTGTTTTTTTATTATTATTATTTTTTTTTACAATCAAATGAGCTGATTCCCATACTCGTTGACAATTTATTTAGTTTTTATTACTTTTATTTATTTTTTTACATTTATTAAATGTTTATTTTACTCTGTTACTGGCCAAACTAACCTTAAACAAACAAACACAAATATATGCAACATGAAGCAACTGCACAAAACAAAAACATCAGACGGGCTGAATGAATATTTTATTATTACTCTTTATTATTGTTAGTGTTTTATTACCTTAATTATATGTATGACTGCACTATGTCTGTAGGCTACTTTCTGTACTGGAAGCTCCTGACACCAAGACAAATTCCTTGGCAATAAAGCTCTTTCTGATTCTGATGAAAATGCAAATTCAATCTCTGACAGCAGGTGGTTCTTATAGAACAGTAGCAATATGGTTTCCTGGGTTATTGCTGTATGCAGCGCTTCGCTCATTTACACTCCTTTAATATGTATTTAACGAAGATAAGAGGAAAAAGAAAATGCCATTGAAACTTTTCTGAAGAGTCAGTTCTCCTCAGAAATACATCCATATTAACCCCCACCCTAATTCCATAATTATGGTTTTCTTTCAGTATTTCGAGCATGGCAAACAATGAATTTGTTCTGTCTGGTACAGTGTTTTCTCTGCTTGCGCGACTATTCTCTCCTCTTTGTGTCCGTCTTCAGTGCATCTGTCTTACAGATCATATATCATGATGATCACTACGTTTGCGTTACCAAATTGCATCCTGTCAGCCAGGAATAATCTGCCCACGCTGTTTTTAACATGTTCGTTTTTGATTACTGTCAGTTTAAATGCCGGCATTGCCAGATATTGAAAAACAAACATAACAATCTAAAAATAAATAAACCGCAATGAGTTCAAATCTTGAGTTATGGAAATAATATAAAGGTATCGCCAGGGTTGTGGAGTAACGGAATACATGTAACGGCGTTACGTAATCAGGATACAAAAATCTAGAAACTGTAATCTGTTACAGTTACATCAAAAAACAAAGTATTCAGAATACAGTGACATTTTGTAAAAAGTGGGAATACTATCAGGATTACATTTGTTTCATTTAAAATTAAATAAATGAGTTTTTTGACATAATAACTATATATTTAACGGGGCACAGTTCCTGGTTCTGTTGACACGTTGACTCACGTGAGCCACCTCCTGGTGCGTGCGCAAATAACACCAGTCTACAATTACTCTCCTCAAACGCGGGATGAGACGCTTCTACAGTACATTAATTATGATGCTTCACGCTGTGAAAATAAAGGAAATAACATAGTTGTACAGCGTAAGCTACGCATGAAAACTCTTGCTTTAACAAAGGCTACTCAACCAACTTGAACATTTGCAGGTACGAGTCCGACTAGCATGGAAATCATGATGTTAGCTCAAATTTAGTGTTTGTTAGTGTTTTAAAATTCCATGGCTGTGCATGACTGCAGTTGTGTGTACGTTTTCGAACAGAAAATGAGCTGGAAAAAGGAGAAATTAACACGAGTCCCCACACCCCGGATCAGTCAATGAAATAAATAAAGATCATAGCATTTCACATGCATTTCGACATGTAGGCTTATTTTAAAATAGACTAATATGTATATGGTGTACATTTTATAATGTTGTGTATAAACTATATTTATTTTTACTTGTACATGTTAAAGAAATTAAAAAAATTATAAAAATAAAACGGTAATATTAAACTGTAGCCAATCTGCATAGATATTGATATTAGATATTGCTTTTTTGACTTATTTACATATGTAACTTGAAGTAATCCAAAAGTAATCAGATTACGTTGCTTTTATATTGTGGTACTTGGATTACGTTACTGAATACTTTTTTAATGAAGTAATTTGTAATTGTAACGGAATACATTTTAAAAGTAACCCTCCCAACCCTGGATATCACTGTCCCTAACTTGCAACCTCCCACTTTATTCATTTCCTAAATTAAGTGGGAAAAAAGAAAATAAATAAATCCATAGACGCTTATAATACGTGTATCTGGCAACACGACTGAGGCTTTGCCCGAATCCTCAATCACAACTCGCTCAAGGGACGAGGGCGCCATGCAACCTTTTCACGAATATGATATATATATATATATATATATACACGCAAAGAAAGAAGGCCTAACTTGATTCTCGCTGTAGTATTGACGCCATGTCATGGAGACGCTGTGTGCTTCATTGTGAAAGCGAAACTACTTTGTTTAGCCTTCCAAAAGAGGACACGACTAGAAATCAGTGGTTAAGTTGTATTTACTTCACAACTTTTACTTGGTTTTATGTTTACGCAGCGCGATGCAACGCAATGCGTAAAAAGACAGTATAAGTCATTATAATCAGTAACTATATCCCCACTGGATGCAACAAATGCCTCGTTTATAATGGGTTTTATTGTTTTTGAATCATCGCTCCGGCCTGACAGGGCATCATCACAGTATGGTAGGGGTGTATCATTTCTGTCACACGCTTGAGGTATTCGGCCAATCACAACGCACTGGATAGCTGGCCAATCACAGCACACCTTGCTTTTCAGAACGATGAGCTTTGTAAAAATCGATGCGTTTCAGAAAGGCGGGGCATAGAGGAGAAACAATAATGTACAGTATGTGGAAAATAATGTGTTTTTTGAACCTTAAACCACAAACACATTTCATTACAACACATATACAAAATAATGTTCTTTTTTAGCAACGTCATATGACCCCTTTAAACCCAGATAGCTTGCTGAAATACTTTTGCGGCCGCCTCATCTACCTCAGCCATACTGATCAGGACCTGTCCCGGTGACCCTGATCGCGCCTGACCTGCCTTCCGTTTCCACTATACTCTCTCTCACACATACATACATTCTTCTCTTACATACACATATTTTCTTCAGACATACATACATTCTATATATATGTATGTGAAAGGAGAATGTATGTGTGTGAGAGTAGAAATGTATGCATGTGAAAGGAGAATGTAAGTGTGTGAGAGTGCCAGAATGAATTATTATTTAATAATTATTAAGGATTAAATACAGTTTGACATGGCTTTGTTCTTCTGTGATAGTTAGGTCGTTCCTTCACGTTAATCATTTACATTCACATTTAACAGGCGCTTTTATCCAAAGCGACTTACAAATGAGGACAATAGAAGCAATCAAAACTAACAAAAGAGCAACAATATGTAAGTGCAAATGACAAGTCTCGGTTGTATATACAGTGGTGTGAAAAAGTGTTGGCCCCCCTCCTGGTTTTTATATTTTTTGCTTATTTGTCACACTTAAAAGATTCAGATAATCAAACAAATTTTAATATTACACAAAGATAATGCAAGTAAATACAAAATGCAGTTTTTAAATGATTATTTATTTTATTAAGGGAAAAAAGCTGTCCAAACCTGCCTGGCCCTACGTGAAAAAGTAATTGCCCCCCTAAATCTAATAACTGGTTGTGCCACGTTTTGCAGCAACAACTGCAATCAAGTGTTTGCTATAACTGGCAATGAGTTTTTCACATCGCTGTGAAGGAATTTTGGCCCACTCTTCTTTGCAGAATTGTTTTAATTCAGCCACATTGGAGGGTTTTCGAGCATGAATGGACTGTTTAAGCATCTCAATCGGATTTAAGTTCAGACTTTGATTTGGCCATTCTAAAACCTTAATTTAGTTTTTCTTGAGACATTCAGAAGTGGACTTGCTGGTGTGTTTGGGATCATTGTCCTGCTACATAACACAAGTGCGCTTGAGCTTGAGGTCACAAACTAATGGCCGGACATTCTCCTTCAGGATTTTCTGATAGAGTAGCAAATGGCTGCAATATAACAAATAGTGAAAAATTTAAGGGGGTCTGAATACTTTCCGTACCCACTGTAACTCTGAAGTAATGAATTTAGGTAAGGTTTAGGTGCAGAGCCAGTGGTGGTTTTGTAGGCAAACATTAATGCCTTGAATTTTATGCGAGCAGCTACTGTTAGCCAGTGCAAATTGATGAACAGAGGTGTGACGTGCGTTCTTTTCGGCTCATTAAAGATGAATCTTGCAGTGGCATTTTGGATTAATTGTAGAGGTTTGATAGAAGTGGCTGGAAGACCTGCCAAGAGAGCATTGCAATAGTCCAGCCTGGATAGAACAAGAGCTTGAACAAGGAGTTGTGTTGCATGTTCTGAAAAGAAAGGGCCTGATTTTCCTAATGTTGTATAAAGAAAATAAAATGATAAAATAATCATCATCATGTAACTGTCAGTGATTGATCTGCATGCTGATTCACCTGTCTGTGTCTCCATTTCCTCCTTGAATTAATGTGGGCATCACAGCGATGAACAGGCCAAGCTGCACATCCTGCATGACAAGCATGCCCAGCAAAACACTGCTGTAGTCCAGCTCACCTGTGTGAACACACACACAATCATAAACACAGACAGATCCCTCTCATCTCCAGCTGAACGTCACTAACATGGTATCTATGATCTCACCCTCTTTTGATTCTCCTCTGGATCCTCCAGCCAGGAAGCGAGACACCAGCGGAGTGCTGGAGAGAGATAGACAGCTGGAGATGAAGACGGTCTGTGTGGGATGAAGGCCGAGCAACTGACCCCAGACCAGTCCAGCGGCCACCATCAGCAGACTCAGATATACAGAGCCCTGCAGCGAGATCTTCCACACCTGAACAACAATAACCATCACACATCACACAACAACCATCTGCTGTCCACTGGATCAGATCACATCACATGCCACACATTTCCTTCACAATTATATGACATTCAGATAGAGCGCAAGGAGTGTAAATGAATCTGACCATCAGCTCATGAAAGAAAAAACAAACAAACAATGATTCTGCAATTACACCACATTCCACACATTATCTATCTATCTATCCATCTATCTATCATTAATCTTATACAGACAAAAGTGTTGGAACTTATTTTTTTAATTCAGGTGTTTCAATCCAACCCATTGCCACAGGTGTATAAACGCAAGCACCTCGCCATGCAGTCTGAATTAACAAACATTTGTGGAAAAAAAATGGATTGTTCTAAAGAGTTCAGTGAATTCAAGCATGGACCGTGTTAGGATAATGCATCAAGTCAGTTAGTGTAATTCTTGGGTGTCAAACATACGGCCCACAAAGGCATCCCATCTGGCCCGCGGGATGATCTGAACAATTATCTAAAATAATAAATAAAAACATTATTTTGAAAATTAAAATGTATTCCCTACAACGTTTTATTTTTAATTTAAAGTGGAACAAACTGCTCATTTATTTGCATTAATGTTACACCTCTGGACACCTAACACACATAAATGCGCCAGAATCTCGAGCAGCAAGTAACTGATGATAGCTGCTCTGCAACTGATGCTTGTGTGGCAAGTTACATCTGATTTTAAACATGTCCAAAATAATACATTTGACCTGAAAGGTTGGAAATTTCAGGAGAAATGGAAAGAAAGGTATTTGTTCTGTGAGATTAACATCTACCAGTATGTTTAATCACAACTCGTGGCCGTGGTAAAAGTGTGCAATATTAAATGACACTATGAGAAGCACTGGACAGTTTAGCATGTAAAAAGTAAATGAGCTAGGGGTGTGTGATATTTATCGTCTACTATAATATCTTAATTGTTGTTTTAACAATGTGCGAGCTGACATTATGTAACCCCCTTTGACAAAAATCTAACAAATACACGTTTTGAGAGATTTTTACTGTGGGATGAAGGCTATTAGAGTCCAGTTATGATATAATTCAAGATATGGAGGCAAAAAATGCTCTGTAAGAGTTCTTGTTTTTTTTATATATATCTCACAATATCACAGGAGCAAGACACAAATGTTTTCCCAAACATCAGTATGAATGCAAAAGAAGTGATTTTATACAACAGTGCAACAAACAAGATGTTAGTATTAAGTGAGTTACATTTTAGTCACAGTGTTGTCTGTTTTTGCTCTGTTTCGCCAACAAAAATAGTTTTTAGCAAAGCGGGAGCAGAACAATTTCAATCAACACAGTGTGTTTTGTTACTGAATGAATCTGTGGTTTTGAACAAATCATTTGAATCAATGATTCAGCGGCCCATTCATAAAGACAGTCACTGGCTGCGTTCCACTCCACTTTTAGACACACACTCGCCATTTTGAAGTGCGTTCCACTTCGTGAAGTGGACGGGGTAAGTTTATATGGACAAACTCGATTTTGACCGAGGGAGCGATTCAAATGCACACTTCAGGCCGCAATATAAACCACAATGCAACACGACTATGACTTCATCGCAGATCACGTTTCATTTATCCCCACCCCAAACAACTCTATATAATATATAAATGTTTTTTTTTACATTTATAACAGCCCAAGCATACCTATATAAATATAGAATGCTACACCAAACAAACTCGTAAGGGGAAAAATGTAAACAACCAACTCCATAGCGTGATCAAGGGCCTAGGATGTTCCAACAACCCTCTACATTGCGAGTAAATCACTCGCATATGCAACTAAATCTTACTCTGGGCGACTAAATAATGTCTAACATTAGCCATTGGCTAATAAATTCTTAGATTTTGCACGCCAGTGTGTGTGTGTGTGTGTGAGAGGCGTTCAACACAGATATCACTCGATAAACATGCTGACTGAGCGCTTGAGAGTTTCTCTCCGTCAAGCGTTCTGTACTATTTGGATGCACTCAATGGATCATGTCATGTACTCAATGGATGCGCAGTATGTAGCACGCAGCGCACCTATATTTTACGTACCGTAAACTAGTGTGAAGGCGCACGACTCGCCGTCGCTTTACTGATAGAGCTGTGTTTCTCACACATGCAAAGAGAGAGAGATACCACGCGGAATCGACACGCTACATGTAAACCATATTCTTTGTTGTATTTTCCTGTCAAAATAACACAGTTCATTTAGAATTATTCAGCTTTTAAGTGCTGTCAGGATGAGCATTTATGCAAAATGAAAATACTTGTGTGTATTTCCAACATTTATAGATATAACCATAATAGCCGATAGCATTTTATTTATATCACAGCTCTGTCATAGCCATTGAGCTTTGTAAAGCAGCGTTTGACAGCTTATGACAGGCATGGTCTACTAGCTTAACCCTTTAGATTCAATATGAAACCGTTACTAAAGCAAAACAGTGATCATAATCAAGCTGAGGATGTGTAGTTTGAAAAGTGTGTAAGTTAATTAATTGGTGAATGGCACCGGTGTTCTCTCTTCTACTCATCAGTGCTGTTTGTCTAACAGTTTCTGCTCCTAATCTCATCCATATCATTATAAAATATAGCATTCTGTGTAGAATTCAAAAGGGTTTGATATGTTTTGTGGTCTGCGTCGATTTACACATATGACCCGCTCCATGCTATTGTGTCTTTGGACTGGAGCAGACTGTGCATGCTGTGGCAATTCGCGTGACAACGCCAAACCAGACTTCATTAGCCCCAGTTGAAAGCATATTTACACTGTCTAAATCAATCCCTATCCCCTATATAGTGCACTACATGCCATTCACCATCAGTGTTGGGGGTAACTCATTACAAGTAATGCCAGTTACGTAATCAGATTACTTTTTTCAAGTAACTAGTAAAGTAACGCATTACTTTTTTAATTTACAAGAAAATATCTGAGTTACTTTTTCAAAAAAGTAATGCCAGTTACTTTGTTTTCCCATTTATTGACTGACAGCTCTCCTGTCCCCATATTGCGAGAAATCGGAAGTGCAGAGGAATTGTGTGCGCTGTGTGAACATGATAAGAGCAAGCGTGTTCAGCTCTCGAGGGAGTTGGATGCGCTCTGCATTCCATTACTTATTTCTTGTGAGGGATAAGCATGAATTGAACGTGTTCGTCTCACGAGGAGATGGCTTGTGCTCATCGTGATGCATTCACAGGACTACTGAGGGGGAGGTGAGTACTTCACCATTTACCCGAGTTTGTAGATATCGTTTGCACGTGTTCGTTCACCTCTCGCGGGAATAGCGACGCATTCGCGGCAGCGGTTTCCATTCTCGCTTGATTTCCGAGGTAATCTAGCATTTGGGTGGAGCGTATCTGAATGCATGCTGCGCGTTGCGGTCGCAGTGAGAACATGGAAAGGACCTGACGGGAAATTTCTCCCTATCTGTAATTTCCTTTTGTTTATATAGGAAATGTATAGTGTGGATCTGTCTGCAGTTGTTGTAGACCATTTCAATCATGTCCTTCTCAGATAACCACATTACACTGCACTCCTGCCCTGCGTATGATGAGCTGCTTGAGGTTTTGGATCAAGAAAGTGCTAGCCATAGCCCTCCAGCTCAGGTGAGCCTTCCATTCCTTCCCGATCTTCATGTGGAGATCGAGAAAGCTTGGAAAAATCCATTCTCGTCCCGCATCCACAGATTCCAGCATACTAGTTATGCCAACATCGAGGGGATGCGTGAGAATGGTTATGAAAAAATGCCCCCTGTTGAAGAGACGCTGGCCTGCTATCTCTCTATGGGGGAGACATATTCTCTTAAGGCTCCCTCCCCGCCGTCCAAACCCCTTCAGGATACATCTCGTTTGAATGGCAGGGCATACGTGGCAGCAGGTCAGGCTACAGCCTCGTTGCACACCATGGCAGTGCTTCGGGCTTATCAGGCTGATCTGCTGAAAGACCTGGATAAAGGCAGGGTCTATCCCCTCATCAGGTGGCTGAGTTGCGTCGCACCACGGACCTTGCTCTCCGTACCACTAAGTAAAGGGAAAGCTAAGGGCTTTCTTCTTGATGCGCCGGTTTCCCCTTCTGAGCTTTTCGGCCCTTCGTCGAGATGGTGGTCGTGAAGTTTAAGGAGGCCAAGACGCGCTTGGCTGCCTTTAAATCCTTCATTCCACGAAGGTCCAGGCATCGGACTTTGCATCCAGCCTATATCCATGAGCTTGAGTCATGCGCTGAAGCCATGGTTGGCGAGTACGATCCATTTTTATCTACTCTACTGCTAGTTATTGTGTATTCGATGATAGCCCTTCTCTGCAGCGCTACTTCGGACCTGTTCTGTTTTCTGACTTTTAGGTTTGACCCACCTGCTGAGTCAGAACCTCCTGCTGTTGACCGATTACAATGATTGGTTCTCGATGCAGGCTGGTGATAGCCCTCATCTTCGGCTTGGTCACGCAGCCTGGGCTTCTGAGGAAGCCTCCCAGCATCAGGTGCCCAGTATAACGCTGCAACCTCAGGACCTGCAGGTCCTTCTCGTGGGCTAGTACTCTTCTGAGTACATGCTTCATGTTTTTAAGTCGTTCCTTAACCTTCATGCACGTTCTCTAAACTAGAGCTCCTCTTGCTGAGGCATTGAGGAGCTCAACGCTCCATAGACGGTCGGGCCCGTGAGTCCTCACTGTCACACTGCCCTTATGGTTGAACCAGTAATCACCCCTCTGCAGAGTGGGCTGGAGTACACTGCGTTCCCTGAGGTAAGAGGGATTTGTGTTTCTGTGGAAACCCCTCTTTGGTGCTTCTGCTCTGAGGAGCAGTAAGCTCTATACGCATGAATGGTAATTGGACCCTGCTATTTCTTCAGATTCTATCGGGTCTGGTTATATGGGACCCACGCTCTCTATCGAGATAGTGAGCATGAGACCGTGTCCAGCTGCACCAGTGGACTGTCTCTTATTAGGCCCTGCTGAGTTACCCCTTCTAATCTAGCACCCCCGTCTGGTCAAGCGGAGAAGTGCTCCCCTCTCTGTGAGGGTTAGCTATCCCGAGTTTGTAGATATCGTTTGCACGTGTTCGTTCACCTCTCGCGGGAATAGCGACGCATTCGCGGCAGCGGTTTCCATTCTCGCTTGATTTCCGAGGTAATCTAGCATTTGGGTGGAGCGTATCTGAATGCATGCTGCGCGTTGCGGTCGCAGTGAGAACATGGAAAGGACCTGACGGGAAATTTCTCCCTATCTGTAATTTCCTTTTGTTTATATAGGAAATGTATAGTGTGGATCTGTCTGCAGTTGTTGTAGACCATTTCAATCATGTCCTTCTCAGATAACCACATTACACTGCACTCCTGCCCTGCGTATGATGAGCTGCTTGAGGTTTTGGATCAAGAAAGTGCTAGCCATAGCCCTCCAGCTCAGGTGAGCCTTCCATTCCTTCCCGATCTTCATGTGGAGATCGAGAAAGCTTGGAAAAATCCATTCTCGTCCCGCATCCACAGATTCCAGCATACTAGTTATGCCAACATCGAGGGGATGCGTGAGAATGGTTATGAAAAAATGCCCCCTGTTGAAGAGACGCTGGCCTGCTATCTCTCTATGGGGGAGACATATTCTCTTAAGGCTCCCTCCCCGCCGTCCAAACCCCTTCAGGATACATCTCGTTTGAATGGCAGGGCATACGTGGCAGCAGGTCAGGCTACAGCCTCGTTGCACACCATGGCAGTGCTTCGGGCTTATCAGGCTGATCTGCTGAAAGACCTGGATAAAGGCAGGGTCTATCCCCTCATCAGGTGGCTGAGTTGCGTCGCACCACGGACCTTGCTCTCCGTACCACTAAGTAAAGGGAAAGCTAAGGGCTTTCTTCTTGATGCGCCGGTTTCCCCTTCTGAGCTTTTCGGCCCTTCGTCGAGATGGTGGTCGTGAAGTTTAAGGAGGCCAAGACGCGCTTGGCTGCCTTTAAATCCTTCATTCCACGAAGGTCCAGGCATCGGACTTTGCATCCAGCCTATATCCATGAGCTTGAGTCATGCGCTGAAGCCATGGTTGGCGAGTACGATCCATTTTTATCTACTCTACTGCTAGTTATTGTGTATTCGATGATAGCCCTTCTCTGCAGCGCTACTTCGGACCTGTTCTGTTTTCTGACTTTTAGGTTTGACCCACCTGCTGAGTCAGAACCTCCTGCTGTTGACCGATTACAATGATTGGTTCTCGATGCAGGCTGGTGATAGCCCTCATCTTCGGCTTGGTCACGCAGCCTGGGCTTCTGAGGAAGCCTCCCAGCATCAGGTGCCCAGTATAACGCTGCAACCTCAGGACCTGCAGGTCCTTCTCGTGGGCTAGTACTCTTCTGAGTACATGCTTCGTGTTTTTAAGTCGTTCCTTAACCTTCATGCACGTTCTCTAAACTAGAGCTCCTCTTGCTGAGGCATTGAGGAGCTCAACGCTCCATAGACGGTCGGGCCCGTGAGTCCTCACTGTCACACTGCCCTTATGGTTGAACCAGTAATCACCCCTCTGCAGAGTGGGCTGGAGTACACTGCGTTCCCTGAGGTAAGAGGGATTTGTGTTTCTGTGGAAACCCCTCTTTGGTGCTTCTGCTCTGAGGAGCAGTAAGCTCTATACGCATGAATGGTAATTGGACCCTGCTATTTCTTCAGATTCTATCGGGTCTGGTTATATGGGACCCACGCTCTCTATCGAGATAGTGAGCATGAGACCGTGTCCAGCTGCACCAGTGGACTGTCTCTTATTAGGCCCTGCTGAGTTACCCCTTCTAATCTAGCACCCCCGTCTGGTCAAGCGGAGAAGTGCTCCCCTCTCTGTGAGGGTTAGCTATGAGTCGCTGCCAGTATGTGCTGTAAGGGACCGCCTCAGCTTGAGAGCCGAGAGCCCTGCTCCCGAAGAACCCCATTTGCAACAAACTAAGTGTTAGGCCGGTCTCTGTTGCCTCTTTGGTCAGTTGCCTTTATGTTGGGACCCTGTTGTTCCCTTAGAAATGTGCGATCCCCTTCTAGCAGGATCCCATTTGTGATCTATCTGCCCCCGGACATGGCTGTGCTTCCCTCACTGCGGGAGGGTCCTTTTGAGCTCGCCGGTCCTGGGCAGACTGGGTGAGTCCTCCTCTCAACTCGAGAGTTAGGTCCTCTACCCTGGGCTATTGGTCGCTTCGGTCGAGCTTGGTTCCTCTCTCCTTGCTAGGGGTTGAACCCTCCACTCTTGAGCTCTGTGGCAGTGACATCAGGTAGTTGGGCCACTTGCTGCTTCCCTGATAAGCTGCCTCTATTTGGGTCAAGCCAGGGAGTGCTCTCCTCACCTCAGAGGGTTGTCTTTGAGCCTGCCGCTCCCGTCGGAGCATTTGTGGACCTCTCTCTTCGAGTCCTCCGCTCATTTGGGCTTCATTGAGTAGCGGCCTCAGGTTGTTAGGCCTCTCTCCACCTTCCTGTTGAGCCGTTCTCCTTGGGGTCGAGCTTAGCAATGACCTTGGGGGTTCATATGAGCACGCCCCTCTCGATCAAAGCGTTGAGTCCCTCTTCTATTTTTGAAGTTGTGCCTCCACTCTTTTGAGCTCCATATAGCAATCATGCCAGGCGGCTGGGCCATCGCCTGCCTCCCTGGCGGGTGGCTTGTTAAGTGAGCTAGCTGTGCTCCCCTCATCATGAAGGGCCTCCTGCAAGCGAGCCGCTCCCTTCTGGGTATCTGTGAGCAGATGCTTCGGAATCTGTTCTGTGAGCATGCCAGTCACATAGGGCCCCTAGGCTGGCTTAATACATCCTCGGTTACCCCTTTAAACAACGGTGTTTCTAAATCCATGCTATGGTAAGTGCACACACTAAGCATTCTGCGCACTTTCTAAAATCCTGTATGGTAAGAGTTATGCGCTGTTAGCTTCGTTCCCTTTCTCTGAGTTGGCTTAAGCCCGATTCTCGCCTTGGGCTCCACTCAACTAATGTATCTCTCTTGATACATTTCTGAGCAGGGTGTTGCTACCAAAGTCTGTTGAGTCAGTTCTTTGAGCAGGATCATTGAGAACCGGTGGTAGCCCCCCCTGGGTGACAGGCCAGGGTCTGGTGTGGTTTTTTAGACACCTGGTCATATCCCCTTAAAGGAATCTCTTTCTTCTGATTCCAAGCCTTGAGCTCTGCCCTAGGCTTAAGCTTCCCAGCCCAGCCACTATCAGGTAAGTTGTTTAGGGTATGCAGCTCAGGCCCTTGCCCGGAGGGGATAATGTCACTGACAGCCGTCAAGGCGTCCTTGGGGCAACTCCCATGGCTATGGTAGAGTTTGTACTTAGTGCTCGCCATGGTTTTCTGGCATGCACTCCCCTCAGCATGGTGGCATGGGTATACCATTCCCCATAGCGACCCCTAGAGGATGCAGTTCAAAGTTCCCTCGAAAGGGAACGTCTCAGGCTACGGTTGTAACCATGGTTCCCTGAGAAGGGAACGAGACACTGCATCCTCTAGTTTCCTAGCCATGCTTTGGATGCAAGCTTCAGACAAAGAAGAGGATGGTAGAGTTTGTACTTAGTGCTCGCCATGGTTTTCTGGCATGCACTCCCCTCAGCATGGTGGCATGGGTATACCATTCCCCATAGCGACCCCTAGAGGATGCAGTTCAAAGTTCCCTCGAAAGGGAACGTCTCAGGCTACGGTTGTAACCATGGTTCCCTGAGAAGGGAACGAGACACTGCATCCTCTAGTTTCCTAGCCATGCTTTGGATGCAAGCTTCAGACAAAGAAGAGGATGACGTGTTATCCCGGCGCCCTTTTATACTGTGATCGCAGCAGGGTAATGATGTCATAGGCTGTCACCGGCCAATGTTATTGTCGTTTTTAGATGTATGCTTCAGACACCGATCATGCTGAAGGCGTTCCCCATAGCAACCCCTAGAGGAGGCAGTGTCTCGTTCCCTTCTCAGGGAACCATGGTTACATACGTAACCTGAGACGTTCATGGGCAGTTGGGCACAATTTAATTTAAACAATGGAAAAAATCTTTTGATTTCCCCCTTTAAAACGAATGCTTATTTTTTAATGAAAAACACAACAAAACAAACAAAGACAAACTCACTTACATTAAATTTAGAAATATTGCCATAAAGGGCCTTTTGAGTAGAGTATAACCGAACACCGGTAACACTGACTACCGTGGCATGTTTGTTTCATAACAGTGTGAACAGCACAACCCAAAGCTGCAGCTGTCACCAAATAGATGAACACTAAAATCTGTGTTGGAATGAGGTGTGTCACTAACTAGACAAACAACCCTGAAGTGTGTACCTCTCGTCACACCTACATCCTGCAGAAATACAGGTTCAGACGCACAGCTGTCACTGACATACAATGATATTCATCAGCACTTCAACACTGAATCACGAGAAAGACGTGTCAATCATTCACAAAACAACTAAACTCAAGCAGCAAACTTCAGTTCATTAGCTAATATTGATGAAATTATGATAATGTAATGTTGCATAAGATGGATGTTATATAAAACAATAACTTCTCTAAATAAAATGATAGATATGCTGTATACATTTTCTGTCAAGAATGAAATGTATTATATAATAATTTTATTCTGTTAAAAGTTTTATGTGGAATGTAATCTCATTTATAAAATGTGCTAAATTTTTTAGGGATTCTCGGGGTATAAAATTAAGAATTCTAAGTCTATGTTTTTGTTCCTCCATTAAGAAGAGAGGCTTCACCCACCTGTTCAGATGCCTTTAACAGTTTCACAAGAGTGTTTTACCTATCTTGGAATAAAAATGAATCCTACTGTTAATAAAATTATATCGGCTAACTCTAAATCCTTAATCCTATAAATTCTGTAATTGCTCTGCTGAATAGGTGGACAAAACTCCTTATTTACATAATTGGACGTCTTTATTTATTAAAAATGTCAATTTTATCCAAATTGTTAAATCTCTTCCAATCCATCCCCATTCCTTTTTTGCCCTTATGGAAAAAAAAACTTTCACAAACTTCATTTGGAATAACAAGCGCCCTCGACTAAAGCCACGTTAAGTGTTTTCTTTATAAAGTTTTCTATGGGGGAAAAAACACAACATGTATTTTAGAACGTTACGTTCATATTCTGGGCTATTCTAATTGTCTGTAAATAGTATGCTTTGTAAATAAGGTGTGTACTGAATTTGGTCCTCCAAGGTCTCTGTTTTCATACATTAAGCCACGTTAAGCCTTTCAGAATGTCCCAAAACGGTGCCTTGAACTAAGTGCTGACTGTATTTCTTTATACGTACATGAGTCCAAGTTCAAAATAAAACTCTATGAACCGCTCTATTGTGAACCTGCGGAGCTGTTTGGACTTCTACAAGCTGTAAAATAAAAGAGGAAGTGTTTGTCTGAACTCAACAAGTTTTGCGAGAGAACACAAATATATTTGCGAGAGAATGCAAAAGTTTTGAAAAATATTTTTTCCTCCCATCTTGTATTTTTTTCCACCACCATTTCTCTTTAGGGGCTCCATAATGAGCACCCATTTGAGATTGCTTCAGTATAAATGGTTAACTAGTCAATATATCACTCTGGTCAAGTTACAACATTTTAACCCCAATATTCCTGATGTATGTTATAAATGTAAACAAGAGAAGGGAACTTTACTTCATTGTATGTGGGAGGGCACCAGAGTTAATTGCTTCTGTGTAAAATACTGGATATAGTAAGTCAAATTATTGGCAAAGGGTTAGAGCCCTCTTGACCCCAGGCTCTTTGTATTATACATTTATCCTCTGAATTTTAGAATGACCAAATATGAAAAACTGCTGTTTACTCTTTGTTTACTAGAGCCTAAACATGTAATCGCCTGCTCTTGGAAAAAAGAAGACCGCCCTGGGGTGTCTAGTGAATAGATAAGACGGGATGACCTCAAGTCTTGCTTTAGAATTTTTTTTTGTGTGTGTGTGTGCGGAAAAAAAAACTTCATATATTTTGGTCCATCTGCAAAGTCTTTTATAACTTTTTTAGAAAATCTTGATGGTAATTATTTTATAGAATTTCTGGGTAGTACTAGTGAGAGTAGGCTACATAAAGAGGCTATTACTGTATTTGTACAAAGAGATGTTATATCATTTTTGCAGCTGAACAAGTACAGAGTTAAAAGCTAACCCTAACAGGGTAATGGTTAGTAATACTGAGGACAGGCAGGAAGGATAATATTTTCGAGATGTGACATAATATTTCATTTACATTTAATATGATAGAGAATGACACGCATTCGCATCCGACACAGCGATGTCGTGTTGTTGGTGTTTAAGAATAATTTCACTTAATAACAACTAACCAACGCCAACCGACTTGTCGCGAATTATCACTACTGTAAATCACTATATCATTTAAAGTATAAGGCAGATTTATGCCGACCGTCCATCAAACGCTTTACATCGCAGATTATTACTCACGGCTGTCTAAATCATCCACTTCAAGTACATTTGATAAATGACATTCTGCAAGATAATATCAGCGATAACAGAAAGGGAGTACTAACTCATACCTGGTAAGTAAGTAAACTGCTGTTAACTGGTGGAACTCGTCAGAAAATGAAGGAAACAATCGCGCTCTTGTGACGACTCATACTAACAGCGAGCGCTGCGCGCGCACACCGAGCTCAGGCGGCTCTTAAAACGACACAAAGCTCCCGGACAGCCAGTCAGTCCTCCGCTGCGCCGGTCATTTACTTTCGGGTCCCGGACAGCCAGTCAGTCCTCCGCTGCGCCGGTCATTTACTTTCGGGTCCCGGACCAGGTAACGAGCTCGGCTCGCGGGGGATGATGACAGCTCCTCACAGACTCGACCCCACGGCAGTGACCGCACTAAACACTCTCAAACTCGATTAAACTGAACAAAATGTTCGCGGAAGATTGACGAGCATTAGTCGCGTTTGTGTTTTGGCACAGATCGGTGGCTGTCATTCTTCGGTGCTCGTTTTTCACCTTATGTTTTATTTAACTAGCTCTGAAAACAGAACCGTGATGAGTTCTGAATCATAACAGTAGCGCGTGCATTGTGGGATTTGTAGTTTTCAATCTGCGCCAGGAAGAAATTCAGAAGTGTTATGGAAGTTTGTTTCTGCCACGGGATAGAAAAGATAATTGCGCCTTTTTATCTCACAACTCGATTTTTTTTTTATATAAATGCAGAATTGTAAGTGTCTCGCAATTCTGAGAAGAAAAGGTATTGTATTTTTTTATGTATCTACATTTATAACACTATTCTTTGTATTATATTACCTTTGCATTAAATTACAAAAAAAAAAAAACCAGTTAACGCTAACTGCGCTAAATTTGACATTGTTCTCTCTTCTGACAGCCGTTATCAGTCTCTCTCGATTCTTCTCCTTTTATTGAAACAAGTCATGAAAACACTATCGTGGAGTGCTGTTTGAGAGCTATGACGACTTCCGCTGCTTAGAAACCCGGAAATGTGAAAAAGGTCCATAAGTCCGAATTGTGAGTTGTAAACTCAAAATTGGGAGAAAAAAGTCAGAATTGTAAGATAAAAAGTCGCAATTACCTTTTTTTTTCATTATTATTTTAGTTTCTTCCCTGGCGGAAACAAAAAACACATTTTCAAGACAAACTGAGAATTCAGAGAAGAAAAATCTGACACAAAAAAAAGAAATCACAATTCTGAGAAGTCAGAGATATTGTGAGATATGAACTCGAAATTGCGAGAGAAAAAAGTTTGAACTGTGAGATAAAATGTTTATTATTATTATTATTATTCCTTGGTGGAAAATAACAGAATTGCAAGATGTAAACTCAGAATTTAGAGGGAAAAGGTAAACTCAGTATAAGAAATCACAATTCTGAGAAGTCAGAGATATTGTGAGATATGAACTCGAAATTGCGAGAGAAAAAAGTTTGAACTGTGAGATAAAATTTTTATTATTATTATTATTATTATTCCTTGGTGGAAAATAACAGAATTGCAAGATGTAAACTCAGAATTTAGAGGGAAAAGGTAAACTCAGTATTGCAAAGTGTAAACTCAAAATTTAAAAAAAAGTCAGAATTCTGAGTTTAAAAATGATATTTGTGAGATATAAACTCAGAAAATTGTGAGAAAAAAAGTAAAAATTGTGAGACATAACTTAGATATGAAAGTCTCATTCATTCATCCCATGGCAGAAATGGACTTCCATAGACTATAAATATGCTATAGGTATAATTACTAATAGCACTTTTTTGTAATTACAAATAATTCAGAATTAATTACTACTCCATACTTATATCAATGCCGTGTTTGTGCACAAAATTAAAGATTAGCGGTTCAAACAAGTGAAACAAATGTCAGCTTACTTCGAGAGCCGCACAGGTGGAAAAACTACAAATCCCAGAATTCCCCTGAGCACGAGCGGTCGCTGGTTTCCGCGCATGCGCACAGGGATCTCCGCTGGACATGAAGCAGCGCGTGAAAAGATGGTAGGTGAGCGAACTAGAGACTCGTGCAGGGGGGCAGTAGTGTTTATCTGAAATGCCACCGGGGCAGTGTGATGACTGTAAACAGACGCTCGTTCTGCGCTCGAGTCGCTTTGTCACAATGTTTTCCGTGCGTCAGTTTATGAGGGAAATGGAGGGTCAGATGAAGGCGTTTCAATCAAAGGACCTCACTGGAACCGGTTTCATACACTGATACCGAGATCTTTAACCCTTCAGAGACAAAAAAACGTGTACTCTGGTAATACCACGCAAATGTCATTATGATATACGAATGTGGTAATCAATACTGTAAAATATTTCAGAATATGGTACTTACCTGCTGATACATCACTATACCATGGTACAACAATTGTACTTTATTATAAAGGTTTGATTTAACGTTCAGATCAGGCTCTTCGTGTATAGGTTACAATGTATAATTTTTTTAGTATTTGAATAATCATAATTTCATATACATATGATGTCAGTTTAGCATAGTAAGCAAAGTTACGCCTAAAAATTCCCTGTTCTACACACACTTTTACTATGGTAAACCGTGGTAACCATTGTCATCAAAAATAATTAAATAGTTAAATTATGAAATTAAAACAACAAAAAAACTATGAATGTAATCAGCTGATTGTACTTTAGTAACTGGTATTCTGGCATAAATATGGTTATTGTGGTAAAAGTTTGAATGGGTAGTGAAATTTTCTGCTTGTATATGCTATTCTGACTTTTTTATCTGAATGCTGATTTTACATCTCGTAATTCTGAATTTGTAAAAAAAAAAAAAAAAAGGTAACTGTTAGGGCTGCACAATTAATCGAATTTCTAATCGCGATTACAATTATGTGCCACAATTACGTAATCGTTCAAAGCGGCAATTAATCGTTCAAAGTCCACTTGTGTTATTCTGTGTGCTTAAGATATGTTTTTTTCTTTCTGCATGTTATCATAAGGGGTTTCCCATAGTTTTTAGTATAACATTATAATACCATTCATATTTGTACTTTTTTTTATAATTTAAAGAAGAAACCAATCCGATGTATATTTGACATTTGAGGCTTAATACTATAGAAAAGCACTAAAAGTTTTTCAGTTAGAGTGTGTTTATTTTCATATTAAAATACAGCATGCAGTTGCATCAAACAATGGTATAAACATAATTTAATGTAAATTGTGATAATCGTAATAATCACAATTTCAAGGGAATAATCGACAATTATGATTTTTGTCATAATCGTGCAGCCCTAGTAACTGTGACTTTTTATCTCACAATTCTGACTTTTTCTTGCAATTCTCAGTTAATATCTTGCAATTCTGAATTTCTTTTCTCTGAATTACCAAGGTCAAAAACACAGAATTGTGGAATATCAACTAAGGAAGAAAAAAATCTGAATTGTGAGATAAAAGTCGTAATTACCTTTTTTATTTTTTTTGAAACAGGCTTCGGAAACAACCTTCCATACAAGGTGACTGTCGTGTCATGTTGAAATTTCACACAGTGAGGACATACTTAACTAACTACCTGTGTTTACTGTAACTATTATTTAACAGTAGAGCAGTCAGGTTACTGAGGCTGGTGTTGTTGTTCAGAAAGCAAGCACTCACATTAACTTCTGTTCCCCAGCATAAATTGAAGTTGTCCCAGAAGGAAAAGATCCGTCAGTTTATGTCCTTCACGCGGGCCGCAGAGAGAACCGCCCTCTACTGCCTGACCCACAATGACTGGAGACTAGAGACGGCCACCGATAACTACTTCCAGAACCCAGATATCTACCGAAGAGACTCCATGAAAACAGCAGTGGATCGCAAGAAGCTGGATCAGCTGTACAACCGCTATAAAGGTAAGTGGCACTGAGCGTGTGTGTTTGTGTGTTTGTATCTTTATTTATGCTGCTTCTGTCTGCAGATCCACATGATGAGAATAAGATCGGCATCGACGGGGTCCAGCAGTTCTGTGACGACCTCATGCTGGATCCGTCCAGTGTCAGCATCCTGATTGTGGCGTGGAAATTTAGAGCGGCGACGCAGTGCGAGTTCAGCCGCAAAGAGTTCCTGGACGGCATGTCAGAGCTGGGGTGAGACATTAGCAATTTAACAATATCAACAAAACACAAAAAGTCTTAATCTTTGGAAAACACCCCAAATACATAAGAAACATATACAGTCAAACCAAAATTTATTCAGACACCTTCAACATTTCTCACATTATCACAGTTTTTTTCACTATAGTTTAGAAAATGGTAATAAAATATGACAAGAGTTCAACTGTGTCAGAACCAGTGGTGGAAAGAGTCCTGAAAAAATATACTCAAGTAAAAGTACCATTACCTTCCAGAAAATGTAGTGCGAGTAGAGTAAAAGTACTTGTCCAAAAAACTACTTGAGTAAGAGTAAAAGAGTAGCCTATTTAAAAGTACTCATGAGTATTGAGTAGTGAGTACTGAGCTGTGGATTCTACCCCCTCATAATAAATGCTGTACGCTGCAATTTACACATTTTAAAAATGTTGTACATTCT